GTGTGTCTTCCTACAGTGAGGGGCTCCCCGGGGACCAAGGTCTGGGTAGCCGGTGTGTCTTCCTACAGTGAGGGGCTCCCTGGGGACCAAGGTCTGGGTAGCCAGCATGGTTTCCCTGATGCTGCCCCTGAACTCCATCCATAGGACCAGATTAAGAACCCTGGCATCAGCCAGAAGAACAGGGAGCACCACCGAGCAAACTCTGCTTGGCACTGTCTTGTTCTGCAGTCAGATTACCAGAGACAGAGCCAGGCACGGGGCCCCAGAAACCCAGGTGTGGTGCAATCCAAGGCCATGTTAAGTGCCTTGGACGCATGATGCGCTTTCCAAACCCATGTACAAAACTTGCGTGCGCCAACAGCAACAGAGAAGGCGAGTGAAAGCTCCCCCGCAGGAGGCAAGACAGCGGAGAGTCCCTCCACAGGGACCAAACTGTGTGCTCTCAGTTCAGCTTTTCTCATGCATTGGCTGGGTTTTGAGGACGCGTTTGTCCTTGAGAGCAGAGGAGGCAGCGAGTGACCCTCGGCGTCCCAGGAGCTCGCTGTGCTGGGACAAGAAGCCAGGGAGCCGAGACACAGCAGGGCAGCCTGCACGGCCACATCGGTGCGTGGGACCTGAGCGGTGCGTGTGGCCGGCGCTCCAAGGACTGGGTCACCGTTGGCCCTCGGCAAGCTGACTGTGTGGCACACTTTTGGTTTCCCTCAGGTGTCGGGCAATGTTTTTAAGAAAGGTAGGAAGTGTTGCAGTGAGTGACCTCGGTGGCGTGGAGGACAAAAAGACGACCCAGGGAAGAGACTGAGTTCAGTCACCGGGAGGCCAGAGGGGCTGTTTCTCCTCTAGGATCACCGAGTCGGCAGGGAGACTCCGGGAAAAGGATCAGCCTGAGCCGAGAGCTCCTCAGAATCTAGGTGAGAGGAAGAGGAGGAGAGGAGCAGTTTGGGCAGCACTGTCTCAAGGCTGGGCGGTTTTTCTTGGAGAGAGGAAGGACGTGGCCAGACACGACACCCTTCACCAGTCTAAACTTCTTGCTGTGTACCCAGCCGACTCGCACACGGCCTGTGCGCCTCTGCCCCGCAGTTTAACCATTCACTCCTCGGAGAGCCTCTGCACTCCTGTCCTGCAGTTTCATCCTTCAGTCCTGCCAGGTTCCCCATAATAAAGTTCCAGCCTGACTGTGATGTGTGAAACCAGGGGAAAAAAATAATCATTTAGGAAGAAAGAGCCAGATGACAGGGAGTGGGCATGGGAGGACAGCGTCTCCCAAATGAGCAAGGGAAGGCCAACATCAGGAGTAGCCACCACTCCTACCTCATGTAGGGGCGTATCTCCCAAAAGTTCTTGTCTCAGAGAGAACTTGACATTTTACTAAACCATGGATACAAAGCCTGAATATAAAGAAATTCTTGGTAGGCTGTTATTTAAGCCATCATCCACCATCCATCTACCCATCCATCATACAGCTGTCATCAATCCATCTGTCTGCTATCCATCCATCTGTCCATCATCCATCCATCCATCTACCATCCATCCATCCATCCATCTGTCCACCATCTGTCTACCATATATCCATCTGTTCATCATCCATCCATTCATCTACTATCCATCCATTACCCATCCATCCATCTGTCCACCATCCATCGGTCTACCATCCATCTATCCATCCATCCATCATCCATCCGCCATCCATCCATCCATCTATCCAACTGTCCACCATCCATTATCTACCCACATGTCCATCACCCATGCATCATCAATCCATATGTCCACCATCCATCATCAATCATCCATCTTTTCATTCCACCCAAATGTCTATCACCCATGCATCATCCATCCAACCATCTAAATGCAGTATCTATTAAGCACCTACAATTCTTCAACAGAGTGTTATGCTTGGTACAAGATATTAGAGGGAGAAAGGAAACTTAAAAGACCTGGTCCTCACCTTCAAGGGGTATTAATCTGACAGAAGGGAAAATGAATAAGCTCATTTCCCTGTATCCAAATGTCATAGGGAAATGACAGGCCAAAGGGCTCAGCACAACTTCACAAAGACATTAACCTCTCGGGAAATCCCCTTTTCCAACACACTCCCCCAAACATAAACAAATCAGCCAGGGCTAGTGAAATAAGATCACAAGGAAGTAGTATGAAAGAAGTTGTTTACCATAACAGATACTAGAAGTTGCCAAGGGAATGGTTACTAAGTGTAGAGAGACCTGGCAGACCTGCAAGGGTTGGGCAAGAATTGCAGAATGACCTGCGAGGCCTTTGACGAGGTCAGAGAGGAGCACAAGGAATCCAGGTTCATATTTCAGTGGCAGGAGTAGAAAAGAGGACAGGCTTGAGACGGAAGGTAAAGATCCAGGCTGCTTTGTACAGTCAAAGCCACCAGGGGCACACGACCTTGACACAGATCCAGGTCCTGGTGGATGAGAGGCCGCCTTTGACTAAAGGAATGACTCCTGCCTCAGGGCACAGGTGGAAGGTGCGAGGAGGCCACTCACCATGGGGAAGAGGCCCAGCGAGTGGTAGCGCCGGGCCGTGGTGCTGGGCATGGTCCTGTTCCGCAGGTTCTTCAGCTCCTCCTGGGCCTCGTGCAGCATCTCCATGCACTCCGCATACTTGTCCTCCAGCTCTCGAAGCTGTGGGCCCGGAAGACGTGAGGTCAAAGCCTGGAAGGCGCCAGATGCCACGCACACCCCCACCTGCCTCCGAAAACCCCAGAACCCAAGCAATGCAACCGAGACAGCCAGGGACCCACTGCCCCGGGACCTGTGGCCAAAGTGCAAAGTCCTCAAGGACTAGGGCAGGCTACGGGCTCAGGAACCTCCAAAAGCACCATGGATGGGCAACTGTGAGGAAGAGCCACCAGCACCCTGCCTCGGGTGCATCTCTGAATGGGCACCTTCCTCACGGGCACAGTATGGGTGTTTATCAGAGCTGTGAGTGCACAGCCCCAGGCTGGGCAGAGCCTGGACTCCCATAGCCAGCAACAGCAGTGGGCCCAGAACCAAGGTAAGAACGGCACCAAGTGGCTGCTTGGTGGGCGGGACCCAAGCGTACTGGTGGAGGCTGAGCCGCCCTCCCCGCATCCGAGGTAAGAAATCAGGAGACACTCACCTCGGCCGTGAGCTGCCGCTGGGCATCTTTGGCAGCCCCCAGGTGCTGCACGAGCTCCTCATTCTCCACTGTGCACTGCAAGGGCAATGCTGAGTCACTGTCTCTGTGGACTCAGGGGAGTCCAGCTGCCTCTGCCCCCAACCTGAGCCACTGTTACCTCGTCCCCTGGGTGGACACGGGGTGAACAGGGCTCCTACCTAACCAGGGCGAGGTCTTTGCCACAGCCACGCCCACTCTCAGTAGCCACCCGCTCCAGAGCAGAGGCTCCCTGAGACGCTTCTCTTCTGCTTTGCTGTGTTTTTCATTTGTCCAGGAACATCCATCTTTTGTGCTCAGCACAGGCCTTGCCTGAGAGACTAAGCTGGCTTCTGCCCCTACCTCTTAGCTCTCGGGGGATATGGAGCCCTGCAGAGCATCCATCCCCTCCAAGGCGGGGGGACACAGTCCCAAGGACAGAGGCCTAGGCTCCCCATGGGCAGCACCCTTGCTCGTGGAGTCTGTGAGACTGCAGATCATTCTTAGGATGTCCGAGGTCATCATAACACCCCTGCCGCTCAGGGCAAGCAGCACTGTATTACCGAATCTAAGTACTTCCCCAGGGCCAGCATGTGCTGCGGACACAAAGCTGCCCTCTACGGTAATGGCCCTTTCCCGCCTCGGCCATCCACGTTCCTCTCACAGAGAAGCCCAGTCTTACAGCTTTTGCTTTCTTCTGCAGATCCACGATCTGTGAGAGCAGGTGCGTGATCTCCTCCTGCTGGCGGGCAGCATCCTCCGTCTTCTTGGCCAGCTCCTCCGAGATGCTAGCGATCTGCACGTTGGCATCCCCTGGATCCAGAAATGGTAGTCGTGAGAGGAAGTCAGGCCACCATATGTGCAGCCTAGATGGATGGCTCCATGGTGGTTTGCACAAGGAAACCCTTCTCTGCGTGGGAGTGGGAGGGTGTACAAAGTAGGGATTCACAGTGCCCCTCTCCCCAGGACAGAACAGAAGGCCTTCCTGAAGGTCACCCTAGGAAGGAGCCCAGCCTTCTCATAGCTGTCCCGCCCCGCCCAGTGTGAGAGTGGGCCAGGGGACACCCTGGGCACAGGTGGGTGTGGCCATACCCCAGCACTGCCGGAGGGAGCCTCTGCTGCACCCCGCCATAGTCGGGGGTCGGGGCTCCACATCAGACTCCGTCTGAGCTCTGGTGTCTCACTGAGCCACAGTTCCTTCTGCTGAATGCAGAGTTCTGCCTACCTCTGTCTCAGCTCATGTTGAAAGCTCAAGGAGATGCTGGGGAAAGCACGGCTGGCAGGCTGAGAGCCCCAGACCCAGTGCTCACACACCAAGCCACCAGCACCCAGCGCCCACACCCTCCACCTGGCCTGAGTCTGTGCCCCACCCAGCCACTAAGTCACTCCCATCCCAACAGGAAGCCAGTGTTACAGTGAAATAGCACCCAGCAAGGCACTGAGGTCCCATACTCAGCATCCCATTCACAAGCAGGGAGGGGCCCTTCGAAGTCAGGAAAGGCCCTGGCTGACGGCCATGGCTGTGGTTGGCAGGGAGACCCTGGCCATCGCCATGGTGGCAGCTCACAGGGAGGGAGCGGGCACGTACTGAGCTCCTTCACACAGTCGTTGACCAGCTGCTGTTCCTTTTCCTCATAGGTGATGGTCTCAGTCTTCAGCTGGCAGGCCTGTGAACGGGGCTCGGGTCAGTGCCTGTGCCTGCCTGGAGTATGGGCAGCCCGGCTGGGTATGGGGCAGATGGAGCAGACCTGGGCCCAGGAGGTGCCCACACACTCCCTGCTGTCACCTGTGTGCCCTCATACAGTGACCTCGGGGCTCCCCGGGGTGAAGGGACACACGTTCTCAGGCGGAAGGCCGGAGCACACTGGGGTCCCCTTCTCAGTCACAAGGCTTTGTCCCTGAGGAAATGAGCAGCTGGAAGAGGTGCAGGCCACAGGAACAGGGCACACGGGGCACCTCGTCAGCTCAGACCAGCTCTCTCCACGCGCGGCACGTTCAGGGCACAGCTGTCCCACACACTAACAGAGCAGACCAGACAGGCCTCTGAGCAGGTGCCCAGTACGTTACTCACTGCCCAGACTGACAGAAGACCTGTGAGCACCGGGTCCTCAGAGAGGGCAGTGATGGGGGAAAGTGGAGCATGGCTTTGTCACTGACTAACTGCAGGATCTGACCATCAAACAGCTGGCAGCCAGGGCCTGCCTTCCTTGCTGTAATGAAAATCAGAGCAACCGGTTCAGCCTTGTTGTGAAGATGTCAAGGATTCACATGGGCAAAGTGCCTGGCACTGCGCTCGCTCTCACAGGAAATGCCCAAGAGGCGCCTGAGAAAGTGGCCCCAGTTCCCATCTGCTCTCCCATCAGGGAGTCTGATCCACAGCGACCTGAAGACCAGCTCCACCCCCAGCTTGTCACTGCTCAGGAGCTGGGGAGCTGGTCCAGCACCTCCCCTCAGGCCACACGGGTGACCACCCAGTGCTCACAGCTGCTCTTTCCTGGCAGGACAGACAGTGGGCAGCAGCACCTCACCTCGGACCGCAGGACGACATTCTCCTCCTCGAGGTCCTTCAGCTTCTTCTGAAGAGAATCCAGGTGGAAGTAATTCTGCACAGAGGAGGACGACTCGTTTCTCTTCAGCCTGGGGAGAAGCAAAAGGTCTACCACAGCTCGGGGACCCAGTGCAGACAGCTCGCAGGCTTTCGACCAGTGTGGCCTCCATACCCTGGAAAGCTGCCAACCCCTGGGACCCCGTCCCAGCCTCTGTCCATGTCTGTGGGTGGCACATCCCCTCAGGACTCTGGGGAACCAACTCTACTTAAAGCCAACAGTTCTGGGTTGCCTGGGAATCTGAACTCTCTAAGGAGTCCCCACGTCTTCTGTCCCAAGGGCTCACACAGAACCTCCTGGGTTTCCTCCAATATCTGAGCCCACCTGGGTGCCCAATACCCAGCCTGGCACCTTGGCTGGGCTGACCAGTGAGCACCAAGACCCAGCAAGGAGAACATGGAAACCTGTCCTTGTGTTCTGCTACAACATAGTCCTGAGCTCGGGTGGCTGTTGGCAGTGCTGGAGGAGGGGACACGGCCCTGCTGACAGCATGGACCTGGATGGCTGCAGAGACACAGCTGGGACTCACGGGGTGGAGCAGACAGACTCAGGCTCGCTCTCCTCCGCGGCGCTGGTGTAGAACTGTAGTAGCTCGTCCTTCATGGACAGCTCATGGCGGAGCTGGGAGACCTGCACAGACAGTGGCGCTCAGCGTGCAGGATGGCCTGAGGCCCAGGACAGCTGCCATCCAGTGAGGCCTTAATGGAATCAGTTTCACTCAAGCAAAGGTTTCAGAGTCAAGCTTAGTCTCAATAAGAAAACTAGTTACTTTTTGACAGAAATCTCCCTGTCTAAATTCTCAAGCTTTTCTTTGGTGCACAGCAGAGCAGAGAGGGAACCAGAAGGCTCTAGATGGTCAGGGACAAGATCACCTGCTGACCTTGGAAGAAGCCAGATGCCCAGCGGGGTCAACAGCCAGAGTACTGAGACAGGATGCAAAAGGACACAGGAGGACACTCACGTTTGCAAGAACCGGACCGCAAGTCACAACAGGGTGGCAGTAGTCCTGGCTCCAGGTGGGCTTGCCCACCACATGGGGATAGACCCATGGTGCCCTGTGCCCCTCACAGCCCCTGGTCAGGCTCCCCCATACTCAGCCATCACGAGATAGAAACTTCTGGTGCATGGACTGGGCACGTGATGGCACATACCTATAATCCCAGCACTGATGAGGCTGAGGCAGGAGGATCGCTGTGAGTTTAAGATCAGCCTGGGCTACACAGTGAGCATAAGGCCAGTCTGTGCTACATAGTGAAACCTTGTCTCAACCCCCTTCAGCCCCCTAAAAAGAAACTTTGAAACTTTGGGTGCAGGAAGTTTTGACTACTGCAAGGGTGGTTTTATAAGTCACGCTGGTTTATACTTAAGGTCTGAAAATGAACAAACTCAGGCTATAAAACTTTTTCTTTGCCCTCTCAACACTCAGTACTGATGAATATGGAACCAGTGCTGCAGAAGAGAACGGTAGCTCTGCTGTAACTCATCCCTGCTTCTATTTGATGTGGGGTCTGCTCTTCATCCTGGCCCCCCGACCCACCACAGCGAGTACTCTCTCTTCCTTGGAGAAGGTGGTCTAGTGTATGCATGAAGGCTGACATCTGAAGATATGCCGGGGAATTGCTGTAATTCTCACACTCCCAATACGGGGGATCCATGTGGCATGTGACAGACACAGAAAGGGACAACCTGAGGGGCATGAGAGAAAGCTAAGGGGCGGCCATGTGCCGGCTCCTGGGTGGCGGGTCCCCTGCTAAGAAGAGCCACAAGGAGCCCGGGGACCCACATGCTTCCTGCCCAGTCACCAGAGAGAAGGGATTTCAGGGCCTGACACTGGCCCAGGGAGGGAGGTAAAGCTGTATGTCCTTGTGAGGGAAGTCTGGGTTAGATCCTGTCTCAGCGCGGTAACTCTCCTCCATCTCACTGCAGCCGTCATGAAAGCCAGACAGCCACGTATCTCCGGAGAAAAGACCCTGGGGACAGGGACAGGGACAGGGTAGCTGCCTCAAAGAAAGTTTCTGAGAGAAGATAAGGGAGAAGACGTGAGCACTGGAGTCTCCAGGCAAGACTCGCCATGAGAAGCACAGCCAGGTGACAGGGAAGAGGCTGCGAGGGGCCTGGCTCTGAGCATTTAACCAGTGCCACTGACACCAGCTGACCCAAGGCCGCCTCTCCTCTGGAACGGAGAGTACGGTCTACATGCATCTCGTGAGGGCACAGGGCTCCTCCCTGTACTAGGAGGCTGTTCTTGCTTCTGGTCCACACAGGCGATCAACTGTGTGGTGGTGGCAGATGCCCCATGTTCCCAGGCCGCCCATGCTGGGCACCGCAGCCCCACTAGAGGCCGGACAGGACCATGCAGCCCTGGGCTGCTGCACACACATCCTCCACAGGGGTGGCCCTCTCCTCCTCCCAGATGCACTCCACCTGCCCCTCCAGCCTCTCTCCTCTTCCCAGATGTGCTCTATCTGCCCTTCCAGCCTCTCACCCCCGACACTTGCTCCACCCGCACCCTCCCCCGCCCCTCTCTTCCTCCTGGACGTGCTCCACCTGCTCCCCCAGCCCCTCACCTCCTCTCGGACATGCTCCACCTGCTCCTCCAACAGCTCGTTCCGCTCACTGAGGGCCTTGTTCTTCTTCAGCAGTGACTGGCCAATGCGTGCAGCCAGCTCCAGGTCCCGCTCTTTCTGCAGAGGGGGAAGGAAAACTGGGTCAAACACTACATAACTAGAGGACTCCAGGCCCAGAATCAAAGGACATGCAAAACAGGGACCCCCAGAAAAACTAAAAGTCTTAGTAGGAAGTTCACCATCTGTGTCAGCATCTGGGGCCTGCTCAGGGGAAAAATACACACAGTGTGACAGAAAAACACACTGAATATTTGAATTAAAAGAAATTTATTACAGTAGAAGCCACACTGACATGAATCCTGTCATAGTTTTGGGTTTTTTCAAGGGGAACAATACAATACAGGACACATATTTTATAAGATTATTTATAATAGTCACCCAAAGAACCATATACAAGAGAGTGCAAGAAGTCTGTCCACACACCAAAGACCAAAGAATCCAGCTGAGGGCCTGGCTCCCAAAGTAACATCCTGTGTGAGTCCAGCTGAAGACCCAGAGTCCATAACAGTGCCTCCCATGAGCCCAGCTGGAGGCCTACAGCCCATGACAATGTTTCATGCAGGCCTGTTTCACAAATCTGCACTGGGAAGGCCCAAAGGTCAGTGGTGGAATCTGGAAAATATGTGCCAGCGGAATGAAGGGTCTGTGTCAGCAGGCTGAAGAGTCCACACTGGAGCCAGGAACCGATGCTCCAAATAAGAACCACAGCTCCGCTGAAAAGCACCACGGCCATCCTCAGCAACAGTGAGGTCCTGGGCTCTTCCAATGATCAGAACAGCCAAGTTCCCACCAGGAAAGCCAACATAACAAGCTTCTCCAGGAGACTGAGAAGTGCACCATCTTCCCCTCTGGAGCCAGGAAATGATGCTCAAAGTGAGGACCAGAGCTCCCCCAAAGAGAATTGTAGCCATTCTCAGCAACAACGAGGACCCAAGTCTTCCTCTGATGAGAACAGCTGAGTTCATCAGAAAGGCAGTATGACAAACTCCTCTGGGAAAACCAGTAGCTCCCTACAGCTTCTCAACAGCTTCCAACAGGCTCTCAATAGCTTCCAACAGGCTCCCAACAGCTTCTACCAGCTCCCAACAGCATCTAAAATTCTCTCCAGTTGTGCCTCTCATGCTGCTGGCAACAATCCTGAGGTGGGCCTCCCACACCCAGCACCACACTGGCTCAGTTCAGCTGGGTGTTACCAGATGAACACCGGTTGTCAGTTCATCACAAATCCCCCGCCCGTTGCTTTGAACACACTCATCCCGTCATCCTGGCTGCTTTCTGCAGGAGCTCTGGAGCCCTCTTCCCCAAGGGTCTTTAGTTGTACTGTCCTGGCTCCTCAACGTCCTGAATCATTCAAAACGTTTCCATTTCATGGTTATTTTGACTTTAGGAAGAGCCAGAAATCATACAGTGCCAGATTCTGGTGACTAAGGTAGATGAGGACACACTGTGATGTTCTCAGGAGCCTGCTTTTCTGTTGGATGGCACTTGGTGAAAGCAATCACTGTATGTTTGATCACACCTTGTACGGACACTCAAGAGAGGATTTCCAGAGCTGCTGCAGAGTGTCAATGGGATGAGTGTATGCAAAGTGAGGGGAGTACTTTGAGGGGGATCCATGGCAATGTGTCTTACTATAATTTTTAAATTTATCAGCCCTGTATATTTTGATCACTCTTGTACAACAAGAGCAACAAAGACAATGAGTGACCAAAGGGAAGTCTGCAGGCTGCAGACCTTTGTTCCTAGAGAGACACAGACTGCTTCCCAACACCTCTTCCACCTAAGCTTCTACTGCCTGCCAAGGGCTGGGATGTTGCGCTATCAGGGCAGGCACGTGGAAACACCCAGTGGCTCTTTGTTGAATAAATGCAGAAATCTAAACATTCCTACAGTGAAGCCAACAGCTGGCATAGGAAGGCACCCACTCTAGCACACATCAGGCTGGAGTACTAAGTTCCTATTTTTGCCACATATGAAACAAAAACATTTAAAGTCACTCTGAGATACCATTACATCCATTTTGTTTGTTTTGCTTTTAAACTTAGGAACTTTACATGGGCACTATCTTTAAAAACAAAATCTTTTGAAAAGCAAAATAATGCACAGAATGCCACACTTGTGAGACATGAGGTTTCCCATGCTCTGGCCACCAGTACCGAGTGGACGGAGTGGTGCAGAGGGAGAAGCTGTCCCTGAGAGTGGCCAGGCGGGGGAGGTGCCCTGGTCCCTGCTCAGTGCAGGCAGGCTGGAAAGGTGGCTCTGGAAAAGTCCCTCCGAGGGCCATTCGGCTCAGGGCAGTGGAGTTGGAGGAGCCCGGCTGTCTAGTCCACACAGCCCAAGCAAAGGTTCCGCGGCACAGGGTCAGGTCCACTACAGAGTCGCTGTCCAGCTGCAGGTTACAATCCCAGGTGGGTGTGAAAGTACCTCAGTAACGGCAATTGATGTTTTAAATGACAAAGAACAGGACAACATCGAAAACCCCAAAGGCACTGCAAATGACAAGGGTGCCTGTCTCTGGGAGGGCTCTGCCACCCCCGCCCTCTCCTTGCTTTGCTGCTAGGATTGAATCCAGGCCCTGGGTGTGAAGGGCTTTTGTGGTCTCCAGTTCACCTGGAGAGAGAAGTCCCCAGTGGTGTGCCTGGCACCGCATCTGTTAGGGGTTAAGGTCAGGTAGGCAAGCTGAGGTGGCCTTGAAAATGCTCCCTGCCTTCTGACCATTTGAGCTGTCAGGTAAAGGGATTGACAGCTTTTATTTCTCCTCCGCACACCTCCCATGTACTGTGGTTTGCTGGGCTGCAGCAGCCACCTCCCTCTGGTAACCCTCGAGTGCCACTGAATTCCAGCACGGCCCTGAAGTCAAAGCACAGACGGGAGAGATCTAGACTCCACAGCTATTGCGCTCCTCCTTGCAGGGTGATGGACTCCACCTCGCCCCGGGCTCCTCAGTCCCCAAATCTCTAATGCAGTCACCTCTGTCCCGGAAGCTGGGCAGGCCTCACATCAGCTGAGCTCCAGGTACCCCGCACCTGTCCATGCCAGGCCTCACATGAACTGAGCTCTAAGTACCCCGCACCTGTCTGTGCCAGGCCTCATATGAGCTGAGCTGTACGTTCCCCGTACTTGTCTGTATAATTTATGCTTCCCCCCACCATTCTCTCATCACCCAGAAACTCAGGACAAGAAGATATTCAGCTCTGTGCTTTATCCATGCTGGCCACAGGCTCTCCCTGGGAGGCCCCTTACCTCACGTCTTGTTATCTCTCAGACGCAACAGCTGGCTTTATCTGGTCCCTCAGGGAAAGGACTCAAACAGCTAAGGGGGGGAGCTGGAAGGGAGGGAGAGTCAAGGGGCAACTCAAAGTCAGCACCTCATCCAGGGGCTTCCATCCCCTTGAGAAGTAATGGGCAGACGCGAAGGCCACGTCTGTGCCTCTGAGCAATGCAGGCTCCAGGATCCGAGCTCACGTGGGTTCCCTTTCTCTCCCAGAAGGAGCTCTCAGACAGGGTGGAGAGGGCCCAGCAGGGGAAATTGGTACTGACCACTCCTCTGCACGGCTTTCACCCGTTCAAGCTGAGGAGCTCAATGAGCACAGGTATTGTGCACACCTTCACCCTGCTCTGCACGCACAAACATCTCACTGCAGGTGCATCAGGCCAGGCCAGCCCAGCCACTGTGAGGATGGGGAGGCCAAGGAGGCCTCCCTCCAGTGGCACACAGAGGGCAGAGGCCAAGCAGTGGGCGGCGGGGCAGCGCCCCAGCTACGGGCCTGACCTTTACTGCAGGCCAGGCTCCTCCCCGTCTCTGCCCCTCTCTGGAAGGTGGCCTTACCTTCTGCCCTGGAAATCTAACCTTGACAGGGACTAGAAAGAACATTCTCTGCTGGGGGGAAGCAGGGAGTTATAGTAAAATTTTATGGTAGACATGAAAACATTTTAAAAGTTACTCACTTACTTAGGAATGGACTGGTTGAGTTTTTCCTGGAGAATTACAAGAATGCAAAAAAAATATCACTTTTCACAACCAGACAACACACGACGAGTGCTGGACTAACTAGGAAATGACCATGTGAGTAAACAGTAGGGGACCACAGACAGTCATTCAGCTCCCCGGAACAGTGCTGGGTAGAAAGCTTGGTCTCTTCCAGAGCACCCAGTCCGTTTCCTCTGCCTGTGCTGTGCTGCCCTAGCGTGGCGTGGCTGCTCATAACCAGCCTTGTGCAGACGCACACCTGCGGGAGGGGCAGTCTGCAGCTCACACCGGAGGTGATGCCTCTCATTCAGCAGCTCCAGGACACCAAGTATGACTGAGAGAACACAGAGTAGCTCTTGTAACCCAGAAGGAGGAGCAGCTTCTCTCCAGGCTCCTTCCCAACAGCAGCAGCCAGGAAAGCTGCTGCCACCTCTCGCCCTCCACACTGGCGGCCAAGGGCACGGCCACAGCAACATGTGCAAACACCCTGCATGGGGCGGGCACAGGAAGTGGGCAGTGCAGCCACCACCTGACCAGGCAGCAGCCAGACTTTAACCAGAACCAGCTGGTTCCAGGGAAAGGCAGGGAGCTCTGCCGCCACTCTGATCAGAGCGGGAACACGGTGTTGTTAGTATTTAGAGAGCACAGAGATAAGGATCCACTGACCCTTCAGAATCAAACAAGGCACAACAAAGAACCATATGAAGAAGTCACCCAGCAATTTTGTAAAGATATGAGGCCACTTCTTATAAGGTGACAGCCACTTGGGAGTGTGTCTAGAGGGAAGTGAATCCTTGATGCCCAGCGTCTACATAAAAGGCTCCAATCCTCGTGCAGAGGGTATGGTTCCTACCCATGCCCAGGGAGAAGGGCAGGCCAAGATCACTGCCCTGTGCCACCACCAAGGGCCCAGTGCACACACCCAGAGGCAGCAGTGTCTGGTTCACACTTCCGAAGGAAAACTTCTGGCTGACAATCAACGGACTGCAGCCACAAAGACTAGAATGGCCAGGCCCTGCCCATGCTCCCACCCTAGCCTCCCTCTGTCTGTATCTAACGGCGATGTCCATGTCTGTGCATCACCCTCCTCTCAGCCCAGGGCGTGCTCACAGACAGCCACAGGCCCTAACATCATCTGGAGCTGACAGCGCAGTCCCTGCAGTGCACGTGGCTGCCTTGCGCTTGCCTCCCCTCTGTGAGTCTTGCCATGCTTGCTTTGCTCATTTCTACACTGACTCTGCATATATTCCACTAGGCTGACACAAGTGGAAGCCAAAATACATCTAGGAGACATGGAGCATGACATGGATCTTCCTGCCAGTTTCTGGATACACTTAAAATACATTGTCAGTTCGTATCTTAGAGATTCCCAAATCTTGAACTGGGTATTCCAGCAAGTATTTAAATGCCACCGCATTTTGTAGCACCAACACATTCCTTCAAAAACATAAGATATCCATACAAAATGACAGCTACAGAAGCCCACACATAGAAAGTAGAGGCATTCAATGATTCCACAGGGGCCAGATCTCTGAGAGTCCTGAAACAGATGAGAAGGATGCGCTAATCCATATAAACCATGATTGGTCAATAATAGATAGCTCTCTCCCATCTCTGGACACTTACCTCCTCGAGAAGCCGAGTGACAGCGTCTATGTCATTGTACGTCTTAGTCATCTGGCCAATTCTCTCAGCACAGAGAACTATAAGAAACAGAGAGGACAGTGAGCTGCTGACGACACGCCTGCCAAACAAAGGGTCCCCAAGCAGGGAGCCTGAAGTAGCGTCTGCATATTGGGCACAAAGTGTCATTGGACTGGCTGGGTTCAACCCACACAGTCAGCACCATGTGCTGGGTTCCATATCCCATGCTAGGTCTGTGGGAGCAAAGGAGAGTGAAGCCTTGACACTGCACATGTGTGTGTGCACACCTGTGTGTGTGCATGCACGACTGTGCATGTGTCAAGGGTGCTGAGGGCCAGACAGAGGCCTGGAAGGGGCTCTGGCCTCGTGCAAGCTCAGCAAACCAAACTGGAGAAAGAAGGGGTCAGAGCATGGTGAGCTGTGACCAGAGAGGCCCTGGGACCCTCACCACACAGGCTGAGTGCCTTTGGAAAGCAGCCATTGACATAATTGCTAATCAACTGCCCTATGCAGATAATTTTATAATGGCACAGCTCCCTCGACCCCCAAGACCTGAAGAACAAGGCTTCCCTACCAGGAAGACTAGGGACGTACACGTACACACACACACACACACACACACACACACACACACACACGGCACAGTTTCATTACATACACAATTGACTGCAGTCACAACAGGCAGCTCACAAGCCACTGTAGGACTCTGTGTCTTTGTTTTTTTTCCACTAGAGAAAATAGTTACACACAGACACAAGGCTTTACTTAGTCGGCTAAACAATCTCATAGCTGTTTTATTTTAAATCAATGGGAAGGAACTGATCTGCAGTTCAGCAAACACCTCGAAGGGAGTACGAATTTTACCCTAAGGTGGGAGGAGGGAATATATATTGATTTAGGGTCAAAGTGCAAAGTTTTTGAAACCCAATCATATTGGGGTGAAATGAAGCTTCTCAGGAATGCTGTGTACTAAGACCCTGGAAAACCATCCTACTGCGGCTAGTGGCTTTCGTAATGACCATGGTCAGTATCAGCTAGGTGATGGGGAATGGAGGGTGTAACTAACTCAAACTTGGCAGCGCTGCCAATGGCAAACTGCCCCTGGAATGCAATAGGATTCTAAATATTTTACCCAATGCAAGTAGAGACCATCCTAGTGACCTGAGCCCAGCGAAATCTGATCTGCTGGGATGATTTTCTAGCTCAGGAGGAACTCTGAAATCTGGCTGTCAATCTGAAACCTACCAAGCCAGGGCCTTGAGGACCAGAAGCCACTCTGCCCAAGCCAGAACTCCTACCCAGGGTTCCGACAGCCACTGGCAAGGGAAGGCTAAGGCAGATCTATCTGTCATGGGTTTAGTAAGAATCTAATGTGATGTAGATGGTGTCCAGCTCAACTGCTCTAGACAGTTCATCAGCCCCAAGCCAGAGGAAATCCTTAGGTGAAGATTCCTAAGCTGTCTGCAGGAGTTCATTTTCCTAGTGCACAGCTGGTATTCTGCAAGGAAACAAGGTGTAGAGCTGCCATTTCTCCAGCACTGTATTATTCAGAGGTTATACTTCATTTTATTTTTCAGCACCAGGGTTTGAACCCTGGGCCCTCATAGAGCTGTATCCCTAGCCCTAGGGTCTCACTGTGTCACTAATTTGCCCAAACTGGGCTTGAACTTGCCATCCTCTCACCTCAGCCTCCCACAGTGCATGCACCACACCTGTGTACACTTGAATTTTGTGCCCTGAGAGCTCTGAGGTTATTCATGTGGACGATCACTTGTAGTTGTAAGAAAAAGTACAGAGGAATCCTGTACACCCTAGCCTCAGTTTCCTTCAGTGGTAACACGGGCAACACTAACATACATGTGATACCACAGCTGGGTATTAACATGTTGCATCCCATGATGCTAACTCCTCATTCTCCACCGTGTGTGCATGCGTGTATAAGCATGTGGGTGTGAAGGTCGAGATAATCTTCTCACATGTGCAGGTCCCTTTAGCTGCTGCTTTCTACACAGCTGATTTCTAGAAGCTTTAAAGTATTTCAACAACCGAACTCTAATAAATGCTGGGCCCAGATCTTTTGAGCTTCCCCTCACATGCCATGAGAGGACATGCAACACTCCCTTGGCATCCCCGAGACAGGATAGCTGCAGCCAGGGGTGCACAGGGTGCAGGGCTCCCCATAAGTCCCAGGACCTGTGATGACTCCCAGCCACAGTGTAAGAGGCATACACAAAGAGCCACTGTTCATTCCACACTACAAAGGTGTGCGACTGCTGTGCTTTTAAAAATCTGTATTATCCCAATGGGGGGTGTGTATATACTTATACTATCCAGAAAAAATGAGGACACCCACAAAAGTATTGACATTAGGACAAGATCATACATTTTACTTTTTTGTGTGCTTTAAAAAAATTTCTATAGTGACCACCTGCTGGTGGGGAAAAATGACTTCGATGCTTTTGAGAAAATACAGTTGACTATGAGGTGTTGGGATCCACCAAGCTTGTTCCTAAGAGAAACTACTAACAGCAGCAGAGCTCTTTAGTTGCCAGATAAATGTGCATCTTCATGGGGTGCAGTGTGACGTCCGGGGCATGCACACATAGTGATTCTGGTTGTTCATGACTTCCCGGACCACTGCTGAGCACACTCACAAGGGCCTGGCACCATTCACAGCCCCACTGTGGGTGCAGCAGTGCCACGGGACTGGGCACTGCATTCACACCACTGTACACGTGGAAACTAGGGCCCAGAGAGGTGAGATAACTTCCCTGATGTCATACGGCAGCAAGGGGGCACATTTCAAAATAAGCCCAGATCTCAGCACACGCAGCAGCTAACATTCCCACAGCCTTACCATATGGGCAGGGACCTGGCACTCTTGCTTACTGAGTTTTCACAGCAACCCACAGGGTGGGTGCTGCTCCAGGGCTGGCTCGGCAGGTGAGAAAGCTTAGAGGTCAAGGGCCCAAGGAAGGTCAGGAGAGTGGAGATGTGCCTCAGGGAGAACCCAGCAGGTCTGACTCCTGTACTCAAACACAAGGTGTGTGGGGCAAAGGACATGAACAAATCAACAGTACTAGGAGATGTGTGGACACAGCAGGGGCCCATGGGTGATAGGGAAGGGCCTTGACCTTGGTTTCCATAGAGACACCAGGGCCAGGTGGCCCAGGACAGCCCAGCAACTGCTGTGTCTTGGGTTTCCTTTTCCAAGGATGCAGGGTGCAGAGACCAGCGGGGCCTAGACCCTGAGATGTAAGATCCTGCAGGCTCTGCTCTTCAAGTACCAATGCCCGAAGCACTAAGTCTACAAGAGCTGTGGCCAAATTTCTCCATGGGAAGAGTATTGCAAAAGGAATTTCCACTTCTGATCCAGGAAGTACTACCCAATCAGTTCTTTCTATCCAAAAATGTGTTCAAGAAGTACAGGAGCAACCATCAGTCTCTATAATAACATAATACAAGAAAATCCTGGTCCACATCCTAGAAAAGGAAATGTATCCTTTGAAGCCCAGGAAAACCTTCTGCACAATCAAGCTCACCCTGACAAGTACCTGTTACCATGCACTGGGCTGTACCAGCAGGCAGAACACCTGCCCTCCAGAGGAAGTGACCACAGGAGTCCTCCCATGCAGTACACACTGGAGCCAGGGGCAGGGCACAGGTGACAGAGGGACTGGCACCATGTCAAGGCTGCTGACTGAGCCAGGGGACATTCAGTGACAGCAGGACAGTGGGCAGTGGACTCTTTCATCCAGAGACTCAGATGAGGAGTGGGAGGTAAAGCAGAAAAGGCAGGGTCTACAGTTCTCCCTGGGATTGGGGCTGGGGATTTAGCTCAGCGGCAAAAGCGCCTGCCTGGCAAGCGCAAGGTCGTGAGTTCGGTTCCCGGTACCGGAGAAAAACCAA